TACTACAGACATTTTGCTGACAGAGCTATGTTGGCTAAGGGTGTGAAAGCGCACACACTATTCAACATAGCTATGCCTGCAAAAGCGTTGATATGGATGTTGTTATGCCAAGAGAAGAGGGCTTCTACTGAGTTAGCTTCTGTCATTAGAGTACAGCTGTGCCAGGAGAAAAATACCTTCTTCTGATATAGGCAGACAAGGTTCCTTGGGTGAATTTGATATCTTTTATTAGACCAACCCAAATAGTTGGAGAATAGTTATTAAGTAAGCTTTCGGATTCAAAAACCCTTCATCAGGCTAAGGAAGTTTCAGCAGTTGGTGTGTGCTCTTCCTGGATGGAATGAAAAGTAAAGAAGCCATACTTTCCCCAACAAAGCTATGGAGGTTCAGTCATAGCAGCAGAGGTTCCCAAATGTAGACAAGCCCACAGAAAAATATTACTAATAGTGGTAAGGCCCACTTATTCCTGGATGTAGTAGCCAATAGCTTTCTTTACCAAATATCCCTGAAACAATAAGAGGCAATGCTATTTTAAGTCTTGATTTGCTAAGTGATAAGGACAGCAATGGTTGTAGAAAATAACCTTGGTGCAAGCGATCATAAGTTGATTCAAAAGGAATCAACTGAGTGATAAACAAGAAAATAGATCTGTATTTAAAGCTTTTTATTTCACAAGGGTAATTCTTGATACATTAAAGGAGCTAGTGATGTCAACTGTATTGAAGGGTTCAGGGATTTGAATATGGAGGAGGTGTGACATTTATTTAAATCAAAGCTGTGAAAACTATCTAGAACTTCAGAAAAAAAGTATAGGGAAGGTTTTCAGCCCTAATTGTCTCAAAAAGGATAGCCACTTCAAAAAGAATAGTAGGAAAAAGCAGAGAATGCACATGAAACAGACAAAAGGAGAAAAAAATATTAGGAAGTGTTGAGCTAAAGAAAGAATAGCCAAAATCAAGCTGTTAGGTTTTGCAAAGGTGATTAAAACAGAAAGCAAAGGACCTTCAGTAGTATGAATAAAATGAGAACAAGCTACAAAGAAGTTGTACAGCTAAACAGTGAGGATGAGGTAGAAATAAAAAATAATCAAGGGATAGCCCAAAGGGTAAATACATACTTTGGCTCAGTCTTCAGAAAGTATGACCTTGTTGACCCCAGGGGCTGCTAAAGGAAACACTGATACGGAAATACAACTTACCATATCCGTGGTGGAAGCAAAACTCACTCAATGTGTTCCAATCAGGAGACCAGAAAATTCCAGCCTAGAATGCTGAAAGAACTAGGACACAAAAGGATGTCATGTGATAGGTAGGAAAGCAGATGGGAAGGGTTCTTAATAAATCTGTCAAATCAAAAAGTGTTACCAGAAAACTGGAGAATAGCAAAATAGGGTACCTCTGGCCCCTGGTAGATGTTAATTTACTCATGCAATTGGGATCTAATTGATTTTGTGCCCGTTTCTAACAATTTTGTGCCCTACCATGTCACATGTGCATGTCAGGATTCATAATTTTGGGATCTGACATAAAATTAGTTGGATCCCAATTGCATGGCAACTGCCAAGTTTTTAAAGTTCCCCAAGTGCCGGAACCCAGGGACTGGCCCCCAGTCTCTCATTCCAAGCACCTGCAGACTTTTGAAAAATGTGCCTGTAGCTCATGTGCAAACCCACTTTAAGGTCCCAGGACAACATGGGAGCAGTAGCTGAGGAGCCAGGAGCCACCAGCTCCCTAGCTCCACATTGGGTCCTGGCGCACAGGGACTTAAAAACAAAAACAAAAACCAAAAACAAAAACATGACTGCAGCAGGGCTGCAAGTGTACTCTTTAAACCTTCCCAGGCAGTCAGACCCAGGCACTGGGGAGAAGCTCCCTGATTCCTGGTTCCCAGCAACAGGGGAATTTTAAACAACACACCTGCCAATAGGTTGCAAGGATCAGGGGGAGATGCAATGCTGCCCTGGGCTGGACAGCCCAGCTGCAGGCATGTGTACGTTTTATGGCCCAGATACCTTGTTCCAGGCAGACCCAAACCTTCAGACTCACCATGACTTCTCCATTCGATAACAGCTAATTTAATTGATACACAGTGATAGCAGATAAGAACAATGCAGGCAAAGCAAACAATTCTATATCTACCAGTCCTAGGGCTGTCACATATGGAAGGTACATCTGGCCAGTACATGAGCTTCGCCCTGCGGTTCTTTCTTGAATGTCAGCAGTCAGCAGCCTGGAGGTAAAGGGCCAAAACCCACCTCCTCCTGTGGGGTAGGCGAGACAGATTGGTGGTGTGCCCTCTGTCCATGGTGGCCTTGGGTTCCCCACTCCAGGACCCGTTGCTGCTCCTCCTTTTGTATCCTTTTTTCCCTCTGATGACTCTTCATCTCTGGGTATCATGGATCGGTTCTCCTGTGCTTGTCGCACTGTCCACATTCTGTTCTGTCAACATATTCCCTTGTTTCACAAACCCATCATATGCATACATCTTAATTTGGTTATTTACCAGTGCCTTAATTTGGTCTGTCCACCAAAACCAGAAATCCCAGGGGCTCTGCAGTTGGGCACTGAGACCTAATTCCACCTTATTTCATGTTATGGAACAGTGTGCTACATGTCTTCAATTTCCCAGCCTGTGTCTGCTGGCTTCAGACACAGTGGGCCTTGAAGGACACTTTGTCATAAATAGGCTCTTTGAAACCAATTAACCCTTGCAGCTCCCCTGGACTAACTGCTCTAATGTAGCAGTTCCCAACACGGTGCCTGCAGGTGCCATGGCACCCCCTGATGTTTATTCAGGTGCCTGCATGCATTTTCATGATCAGTAAAAATCATTTTTCCAACAAAAAATGCTGTCATATTGGTGCCCGCTGCTTTTTCTTTTAGATTCAAATGTGCCCTTGGGCACATAAACGTTAAGAACCCCTGCTCTAATGTATATGTACTTTACTTACAAACCAATTCTTAAAAGCAAGCCTTTAAATATAATTTTCTAGCCATCAGCATGTACCACGAAGCAGTGCCTGAAGCTGGAGAGCAGGGAGCTCCCCACTCTCCAGCTGTTGCTTCCATGGATACCCTGGAAACTTTAGAAAGCTGGGATTCCCAGGTACCTGCCTACTTTTTAAAGGTCTGGGATGCCATGGGCCCAACATTGGGGTGATGGTTTCCAATATCACACTCGTGGCACCTTTCCCATCTTCCTCTTGGGATCAGACAGGGAGCAGCCAGGTATGGGACCCAGAATTGCTCCCAGTGTGAACCACTGATCAGACAGAGGTGGTTTCAGATCCTGGGGCCTCCTCATGCCAGATAAATGCTCAGCTAAGTATGAGGATCCTGAGCCCCCTTATACCACATATTCAACAGAGGCCAGTTACAAATAAGCCACAAAGCCATAACCAAACTCTGATCATCTATGTGGCTCATTTGCTATACTATTGCAGTACACATTAACTTTAACATGTAGCAGTGTTGCTATTTATGGCATGATTCACATGTTAATTGCATCATAACTGTAACATCTGCCAGGACTGTTTCACAAAGGCATAGAACCAATCCAGTCAACTATAGACCTGTTAGTCTGATCTAAGTAGTATTCAAGATGTTAATTATTCTTTCCTTCACCATTTTGTTTTAAAGACATGCCAGTAAATGGGCTTTGGTATAAAATGCAACATGGATTTTCCAAAGGCAGGTCATGACAGATTGATCTGTCAGCTATCTTTAAGAAGATAACTGATTTTCTAGACATGGGAAACACAGTGATTCTAGTTTAACTGGATTTCAGTAAAACATTTATTATGGCACTATTGTGAAATTCTTAGTTAAGTCAGAAAAGACAGGGATTCATACAAGACTTGTAAGTTGGATAAGGAATTGGCTGAAGGGGAAACATCAATATATTGTGCTGAAAAGGAACTATGAAGCTGGAAGGAGGTTACCAGTGGAGTTGGTCTTGGGAATATTTTTTAAATGATACTGAAATGTTATTAGTAATACGTCCTCAAAAATGTGCTAATAAAGAGCATGCTAATGAAGTTTGCTGATTAAGCAAATTTAGGAGGCATTTCCAATACAGAGGAGAATCAGAATATTATACTCAAAGACCTGCAATAATTGAAGAAGCATGAAATATGGAAGTACATGGTCATACATTTATGGACTAATGAGAATTTCTGTTATAATCTGAGAATTCATCTACTGGAAAAGACAGAGGATGGAAACAGCCTGGGTGTATTTATCTTGTGATAGTTGCCAGTGGCTTGAGAGGGTGATTTAGCAATCAAGGGTCACTTGGGTATAGAAAAACTCCATCCATACCGCCAGAAAAACTGTCACAGGATATGCACCCCTGAGCTGATCCTGCCACCATCAACTATTTGGGGCTTAGGGCAATGTAAGTGCTGAAGTGCAGGAAAGACACTGAACTTAATGTGTTTGTTGCTCCCAGTTCAGGGCGGGTTTATAGCCTCTTAATTATGATGACCACCACAGAAGTCCCAGGGAACCCCAGCAGAAATCAGAGTACCAGGCACTGTCCATAGAATAAAAGAAAATCATTTCCAAAAAAAGCTTGTTACGTGGCATCATTCCCTAGGATAACCAGAGCGAAATGAGAGCCAAAATGGATGCTCATCCTCTTGCCATTTATTTCTGTGGGCTTCTCTCCATGTTGTTCATGCCTGTAGGGGTGCTCAGAGTGGGCATAATAGGAGCAGACAGGAAATGGTTAGTTGTATTACTGTTCCTCGTGCTATGGCAGAAGGAGGGGCCTCAGAACATAATTCAGAGGGCCTGACGCTGATGTGTTCCCACCCCAACCCAACCCAGAATAATGTTCTGTGGGCTTATGCTTTGCTCACAGAAAAACAATTCCACTGACTTCAATGAAGCAGGATACCTTCATCTATATAGTATAATTATGAGGTAATTTGAGGTAAATAAATAAGTTTAAACAAAAATGATGATTAATGATGTTTTTATTTCTTTTTCTCTCAATAGCATGGGATGGGCATTCCTTCCATTTCTATTATGCTTCATGAATTAATCAAATTACTACACCACGCAAAATGCCAGGGTGTTACTATTATACGCATCGGTACTTCTGGGGGCTTAGGTGAGTGACCAGTTTTGCTACTGACAAACAAGAAGGATGTTAATCCAACCTATCCAGGCAACCGGTCACGTAATTATGAGCTTTTCATATTTGTTCAGGTTTTCAAATACCAAAGCAACAGTATATTTTATTTCAGGTCACCAAACAGCACATTTGTAATGCCTGGCATAGCAGAAGCACACATTCTCATAACACATGATGATCTTGAGATCTAAAACATCTGAACAATCCAAACCACCTGACTGGGATTTGCTCCAACTTTCTGAAACCTCTCAATGCACTCACATTTTTAAGCCATAATGGAACGTCTTTCAGTTAGAATAAAAATAGTTACCTAGCATATTAGCATTTAAGGTCCTCATCAGGATTGGGATTAGAGAGATAGTTCTTGTTCCAGGGAGGTTACGGTTTAAGAATGAAAGTAGAAACTATGAAGAACTCATTGAGGACAGGGCACCAACAGAAATCCTTCTTTACAATAGGGCTACCCTGTGACCTGGAATTTAGAAAAATATAAATTCATATGAACCTTCAAAAAAGAATTGGCACCATTGTACATTGGATACACAGAAGGCCTGCTTGGCCTGGATGCTGGCAATTGTTTTATGGCCTCCCCTGAGAGTTCTGTTTGCATAAGCATTTCAGGCTCAGATCTATGAAAAACCACCATGTATTTTATCTGACCTGTCAGTGCTTAGAACGTCACAGTTCTCACTCTGCTGCACATGTGCACAAAGGTCATGCAGAATGTCATGGCAGGTGCAGAACAGCATGCTCAGAAACCACAAGCCTCTGCTGAATTAGCTAAAGCACAAGCACTTCTCTTGTCTTTTAGCAATACAGGTCTTAAGACATACAGTAGGAAATAACATTAAATATGCCTTTCATTTCACCCTAAGTGGTATGTACAAACCAATAGCTACAAGGATATTTCTTAGATTCATAGATGTTTCAGTCAGAAGGGACCTCAGTAGATCATCAAGTCTGACCCTCTGCTCTGGGCAGGAAAGAGGCCTGGGGCCAGATGACTCCAGCCAGGTGTATATCTAGCCTCCTTTTAAAGACCCCCAAGGTATGGGACAGCACCACCTTGGAAGCCCATTCCAGATTCTGGCAACTCTTACCATAAGAGTCTTCCTGATGTCTAACCTAAATCTGCTCTCCGTCAGCTTGTGGCTGTTGTTCCTAGTTACTTCAAGGGGTGCCTTGGTAAACAGAGCATCTCCTATTCCTTGCTGACTTCCCCTGCCTCCCAATGAATTTGTAGGCAGCCATAAGATCACCTCTCAGCCTTCTCTTGCACAGGCTGAAGAGATCCAGGTCCCTTAATCTCTCCTCATAGGGCTTCAGAAACTAATGGCAAAATGGTTGCCCATGAACATGCAACAAATAAGAAAACTACAGAGCGGCAGGGAACACTGATGGCACCTTTGTCGAACACACCCATAGCTTGTCTTTGACTACACAGAGAAGTGATGTGCTCAGGTTGTGCTCTTGTCAATCCTTCCGGTCAAGGGAAAGGGCCCAGGCAGGAGCAAGTGCATCCTGCAGATCAACATCTGGCTGTGCAGGTGGTGTCGCCAGCAGGACTTTGGTTTCTTCAACCATGGAATATACTTCCAAGAAGAAGGATTGCTGGGAAGAGATGGGACCCAGCTGATGAAGAGAGGGAAGAGCATCTTCGCAGACAGCCTCGCTAACCTAGTGAGGAGGTCTTTAAACTAGGTTGGCTGGGGGATGGAAACCAAATCCCTGAGGTACATGGGGAACCAGGAGACCTGGAAAAAGAGCAAGCAAGAAGGGGCAACAGGGGAGGTGCTCTCATACTTTCTGAAAAATCAGGGCAATCAACTAGTTACTACAGGTGACTTTACACAAATGTACAGAGCCTGGGAAACAAGCAGGAAGAACCAGAAATCCGTGCACAGTCATGGAACTATGATGCGATTGGAATAACAGACTTGGTGGGAGAGCTCACATGACTAGGGCATGGTCATGGATAGGTACAAACTGTCCAGGAAAGAGACAGGAAGGACTTTATATAAGAGAGCATATGATTGCTTAGAGCTCCAGTATGAAGCTGGAGATACCCCTATTCAGAGTCTTTGGGTTAGTGTCAGAAGGGAGAGTAACATGGGTGATGTCATGGTGGGGTTCTGAAATCAACCACCAGACCAGGAGGAAATGGTTCATAGATTCATAGATGTTAGGGTCGGAAGGGACCTCAATAGATCATCGAGTCCGACCCCCTGCATAAGCAGGAAAGAGTGCTGGGTCTAGATGACCCCAGCTAGATACTCATCTAACCTCCTCTTGAAGACCCCCAGGGTAGGGGAGAGCACCACCTCCCTTGGGAGCCCGTTCCAGACCCTGGCCACTAACTGTGAAGAAGTTCTTCCTAATGTCCAATCTAAAGTAAGGCTTGGTCTGTAGGCCCTTAACCATACGAGTGGCCCTTCTCTGGACCCTCTCCAGGTTATCCGCATCCCTCTTGAAGTGCGGCGCCCAGAATTGCACGCAGTATTCCAGCGCCCGATAGAGGGGAAGTATCACCT